GGCTCCAAATCTTGTATAAAGGGGGTCAAATAAGATGTCTAAGACCAGGCTATGGGTTGCTGGTTATGATTATGCTGGCTGGGTGCATGGATCATTTTTGTAGTTGAAGTTATGAATATTGTATTTCTATCTGTGTTTACCGCTTGTGCTCTGCTTCTGGGTGACACCCCAGACAAGCTGGTGTCAGCTCTGCCTAGCCTGCTGGATGGCCCATTAAGGCCCATCAGCTACACAACTGCCCCATTGAGAGACGGCAGATACGCCTTGTGACTCAGCAGGCATGCAGGGACCTGCCTAGGTGACTCCAGACTCCATTTAGCTGTAGTTTTCCACAGTAAGAACAAAGAGGTGTTCTCACACCTGGAGGAGACTATAAAAGGCAGCTGCAGCTCCTCCATCCTGTCATCAATCCTGCTTCTCACCTCTGGAGGGACTTTGCTACAAGCTGAAGCTCTGAACAAAGGACTGAATGACCCGTCCCAGCTGGGGATGTGCCAGAGACTTGATTTGAACCTGCAGTTTATTCCATCCCGGCTACAAGCCTGAACCAAGAACTTTGCCGTCACTGTACGTAACTGATTCCATGTAACCAATTCTAGCTCTCAGCGATATTTCTTCCTTTTATGAATAAACCTTTAGATTTTAGATTCTAAAGGATTGGCAACAGCAGGATTTGTGTGTGAGATCTGACTTGTATATTGACCTGGATCTGGGGCTTGGTCCTTTGGGATTGGGAGAACTTTTTTTCTTTTATTGGGGTATTGGTTTTCATAACCAATTGTCCCCATGACAAGTGGCACTGGTGGTGATATTGGGAAACTGGAGTGTCTGAGGGAATTGCTTGTGAGACTTGTGGTTAGCCAGTGGGGTGAGAACGAAGTCCTCTTAGTCTGGCTGGTTTGGTGCCTTAGAGGTGGAGAAACCCCAGCCTTGGGCTGTAACTGCCCTGTTTGAGTAATTTGTCCTGAATTAATACTCTCAGGTGGGTCCCACCAAAGCCAGCATCACTACAGTGGCATAGTCGGCAGGATCCACAGAACCAGGGCAATGAAGCTTTGGGTCAGAACTCCACACTATCCACATTGGAATTTTGGGATTGAGAGTTTGGTTGGTGAAAGAGCAGTTGCAATGGGTGAGCAAAGAGCATAGGAGGGACCTGACCAGAAAGCCCTGGAAGATGTGTGTTCAGAGAAGGGGATACGCTTTAGAAAGACGCTACAAATCAAGAACTGAGAGATCTGTTCATGGCCAGTGATCAGAGGCAGGAGCACAGCCCTGACCTGGCACAACAGAAGCTGCAGAAAAGGTTGGAATGCAAAAGGCAGCAAGTAAACTGCAGCTTGAGCGTGAACAGAACCTAG